CCGATGGATACGTTGACTCTCCTCTGAGCGCACGTACGGTTTCAGGAAGATTTTAAAGAGGCGTCCAAACTTCCCCCAATGAGGAGTCATAATCTCAGCCTACTGAGAGAACTTACCAAAAATGTTAGGCTTGTGATCGAAACTCATGGGGACAGCCACTCCTGCACATGACAGAACTGCTCTTGAATCCCCCACGTTCGCTACAAAGAGTTGTCGATCATCGGTGATGAGTGCGGCACAGCAAGTAGAGCCAGCTGGCTCCTTCCCACGGAGGACGGTAGAATAGGCTGAAAGGGGGAGAACATATGAGGACCATCAATAACATTAAAGCTGTCTGTATTTCGCCACAGTCAATGTTGCAAGAGATTGGAAACGGTGCATCTTAATTTCCCACTTCAGCAAGACAAATTGGCTCCAGGAAAATTGTGTTTTCATCCCCGAGATCGCTGTCCTTTGACGCACCTTTATGCAATTCTTGTTCAACCGCCATGAACCCCAGTCTAAGTGCCTCGCCATACTCTCCACGTTCGAATTCGTCCATACTCGCAACTCGCCAGTGGATTCTCCGGGAGAGGTAGTGCGCGACGCGGTTGCCGCGGTGACCATCAGAGACAATGAAGAAAGAGTGGTGCTCGTTAGAAGGGAAGAGTGGCGCCGTGAAGATGTAGGGGGCTGAAATGTTGGGGGATCGGTGAAATCAAGGGTCAGAACAAAAGCCGCCACTACCGAAACTTCCGTTTCACAACTGCGATATTTGCGATATTGGGGTAGTTATGCCTAAGGTCATGCACGCACATGACGGCTGACCGGACATTTCCACGTCAGTCACACTCACTTGGGTGCAAACGGGATTTGTGCTTTTTAGGAATGGTGAAGGGTGTGGAAGCAGATGTGCGAGGAGAATCCATGCTGCCGTTGGTGTTGACAGTCATGTCAACACCATCCCCAGGAGGGTTTGGATCTCCAGATAGTGAAGAATCATCAACCTCTGCAGCAAGATTAGATCGCGAGTTCGCTGGGGATGCCCGCGGTAATTGAGATTCTGCTAGGGTATCCTCTGTGAGCAGTGAGTTGATGGTGACAGCTGAGCGCCCTGAGACCGTTTTTCGGAACGGAACTCCGTAAGAGCCACTGCTCGCTTGTGTTAATGATACAGCGTTCGAGCGAGGACCATTTTCGTTCGAGGACATAAACTCCTGAAAAGCTTCCAGAGCATCATCGGGGATTCCGGAGAAAGTGCACACAAAAGGATGGGGGCAGTGCTGGGGGAAAGCAACATTAGGCATACGCAGGACAGCGGTGTGAAAATCCTCCACTGCAATGTGGTGATACGATCATGTTGAAGTGAGGGAGGTTCCACGCCACGAGAATGGGAGATCATCGGCCCATGATTTGTGGTTGGAGTGATCGGTGGACAAGGAAGAGCATAGAAAACAAAGATGTGTGAAGTAGTTACAAACTTGCCATCGGCTCATTCATCTGTCGCTCGTATTCTTCGCGAGTTGTCTGTCGGAGTAGAGCCCACCCCAACCCACTCACTGTACGGTCGCCAACCCTGCATACAGCTTGCCGAGTATGCCAAGCGCTCATCAGCGTCACTGGTCGTCTGCTTTGTCATAGAAACCCCGGAAAGTTGATTCCCCATCGAACTTTTCCTGGGTCAGCACACCAGGGATGTTCATGGGTGGATAAGCAGGTGACTGTTCCGCCACATCCATAGAGCTGCGTAAAACGCGACCAACCACCACGAACCGTGACGCAGCGGAAGTTTATTCCACAAGGAGGGTCGTAATTGCGATAAAGTGACTATATACAAATCCCGCGCTATTATCAACAAAGATGGATGCCAAGAAGTTTTGTCAGTTTGACAGTAGCATGCACTCAAAGCCACAATTGCCCAGGATTGCAGGAAAAATTCTTATGACATTTGCCAATTAGAAACCTCCGTATCTGTCCCCATTCCTGCCCAGCAAAGGAGCATCCGCCTCGCTTGACTGCACTCCTCTGCAATCCAAGGACACGCGGGAAAACATACGCCGGGAGGACCGAAACGATAATACAAAAAAAGTGGCCCCAATTGCGAGCACGAACTGTGTCAAGGAGAGGAACATTCATTAGCAGGAGAAGAGAGTTCACAGCACTCCCAGAACAATGCATACTAATCCTCCCAACACAAGAGCGATCCTACTCGCCCTAATCGCCTTCCAAAATTCCTGACCCTCGTCACCTGGATTTCCAGACCCAAGGTCCAGGAAATCCATAATGACTATGAGCAACTCCAGAAGGATTCCCACCAGGAGGAACCCAACAGCAAGTCTCCACGCTCCAGGGTGCTGCCCAGAGATTATGCGTCGCTTGGAAACCAAGGGCCGTGGAAGCTCTATAAGATGCCATTAGCAAGTGTCCTTGACGGGTCTTCGCTCACGACCAAACCCACCAATGCTGGAAACACCTTCGCCCCTACTTCTCCTTCTCACCAATCCCGTCATATCATCTAAAACCCCAACATCCGACACCCTGTCAGTCTCCTCGTCATCTCCGTCCCAGTCATCAGGGTCACGGCCCTCCGACCAGCCAATCAAGTCCATGCGAACATCGTCCTCGACCATCGTGCGAATCCAGTCATGATCCAGAGCGGCGCGAGGAGTAAGACGAAGGGAAGGGTCGGGGTGCAAAAGGGAGTTTACGAACCGTTGGAAGTTGGGTGAGGTGGAGGAGAGGGAAGGGTGGGTGAAGCTTGGCGGATAAGTGGGAAAATAGTAAAAATGGCCATGTAGACTGAGTTCGGCCAACGCAAACAGATCAACTCACTCGGCCCCTTGCGCCAATTTTGACTCCTCCGGCACCAATTGCTTCTCCGAGAGTTCCCCGAAAGGCCAGCAGTATCCACCTCCCACACACATGTAAGCAACTACGCCTATACTCCACGCATCCACTTGTTTTGTATACCCCATCGGGGAATGCACAACCTCGGGAGCCGCAAAGTGAGGAGATCCAACTGCACCGCGAAGCATCGCCTCCTCAGACAGGTCACCGGTAGGGCTCGGTGGGGGAGTATCATAAGCAGATGGGGCAAGTCGTCCAGCGTAAGGTGTGATAAAGGAAAGGGTCGTTTGGGACAGCTCGGTTACCGACTGGGCTTTTGAAGTATGTGGAACGACAGTGGAAGGGATGAGCGCGGCTAGACCAAAGTCGGACAAGAATAGGGAAGAAAGAAAAGGGGCTGCAGACTCCGGCTGAACGGGAGGGGTGGGGCGGGGATGGAGGAAGAGTATATTCTCCAGTTTGATATCTGTGATACATAAGCTTCAAGGTTAGTCTTTGAAGGTCATTTTTTGTACCATACTCACCTCGATGAACAACTCCTCTCTTCCAGCACCACGATACGACACTACAGAGCCTGGCAACAACCTCTGCCGCAAACCCTTCGTCCATTCCAATCTGAAAGCCCTGTTCCTGTTGTCTAGTCGACACGATTGCATTGCCATCCACCACGTCAAACAAGTCGGTGCTTGCTAATGCAAAGACCATATTGATATGGCGTGTGGTGGCGAAGGTGGTGAGAAAGGGGGGCAGGTTCGGATGTCGACGGTTCGGCCTCCGTCCAAGTGTAGATATGGTTGACAAGGAAGCTCGAGAGGGCAAAGAGTAAGTGGGTGGGGACCAGCCTGGAGGAATGGGAAGACGGGGGAGGTTAAGAGTGCGGACGGTCACCTCGTGAAACATGCGCACTAAACCAAACGGAACTCATTAAGACTCACCCTTCGAATCATCCCACTCCTCACCGAGCCCCAAAACGCGAAAAATTGCTTCCTCCTTGTACAGCCATTTGTGTTTTTTGCTGCTCCAGAGAAAGTCTCTGGGATTCAAGGAGGACTTTGCCACTGCCTTTATAGCAACAGGCGTCGATGTAGGGAGATGAACTGCACGGGAGACAGTGGAGTGTGGAGTGGTAGCTACGAGTGGGAGGAAGTCAGATCGAGTAAAGTCCCCCACAGTCTCGCCAGTACCTCATTCGATCATGGTTCCAGCAAATTAACCCGATTCGCACCGAAAATCCGTGCAAGCACAACCACAACTATCTCAAGATCCCTTCTGAATTCGTCTTGAAAGCTCAAGCCTGCCGATTCCTCACCTATTACCCCCTCAACTCTGTAGAATCCCAACAATCTCTCTCCTTCCGTATCTTCTGTCCTTGTAAAAAAGGGATATATCGGTGGTGGAGGCCGCGCAGGAGGGTTAGGTGGTGGTTTCGTGAAAAGCCAGGACATTATGGGTATGACTGATTGACGAATCGTGTGCTGTCTGACTATAGTGAATGACAGGGACCAAAGCACAAGAGGTATCAACACGCCTTCTTCCCCGGTGCAGCAATGAGCGCGTTACATGCGTGTGGACCAGCCAAATTTTTGATGTATTGTGTTTCACCATGCGAGGTCGACGGCGTCGGTTTGGCGGTGCCCTCTCTGTCAATCGCTTACATAGTACGGTAACATGACGTTCCCAGTATAGGTAGCAGATGTGATCTCGACATCATGAAACGCCACGTCAGATACATGGATTTCGGAAATTCTAGCTGACGAGTGTCCTCGATGATCAGTTGAAACGACCAGGCGTCACCCGTCCTCCTCTTTTCGTGAATGTCTCGCGTGTTAGAGCTCAACCAAGCTAAAGTGAATTGGCGCTCTCATGAGCGGTACGGAAGTTTTAATGAACGGCAATAACTTTGTCATGAGAAGCGTTTGTAGCGACCTTCTCATATCACTTACCTGGTTAACGGCGTCCCCCACTAATCTCTGCCGTGGATCTATTCATGTTCCTGTTGACGGTTGACGGCAGTTCATTCCCTGGTTTAAGTTTCATGTTCCCACATCCGCGGTGCGTCACCACTGCTCACTTGACCTCACCCAATATCACAACAAACACCTGAAGCGTGTTAATGCATTATACATACCAAATAAAAATATTATCTTATTCCACAAGGGCCCCAACAAAACAAAGCAACGGTGGTCTAGTGGTAGAATTGGCCCCTGCCAAGCAGCAGTTCGGGCCAGACCCGGGTTCGATTCCCGGCCGTTGCAGGCCACAAAGTTCATTTTTTTGACTTTTCAACACGAGGAAATATTTATTTTAACGATTCCCAGTCGAACGGCGGTGGTCCGGAGTGGATTGGAGGGGTTTGATCGTTTTTTTGTTGGTAACAGTTTTGTTGTGCACCCCAAGTGCCCCGACAACACATTACAGAACACATTGACTGCCGCCATCGATTCTCGTCTCCTCGCACAATGAAAATTTCAGCACCGGAAAGACATACAAATTACGTATGTGCCAATACACTCAAGCGATAACCACGAGGGTTCGGTTATAAGAACAACAATCAGTCCGATTCCAAGGATTGTAACGGGACGAGCGAATAATACAAGGAACAGCCAGCTGCGCGCTCAATCAATCCATCCAGCCACAACGGCAGATCTGGCTGTCATCTCCCTCTGCCTTCTCCGCCTTCTACTCTTGCTTCTGCCTCTTCTCAACATTGTCACACTTTTCACTCAACCCGCGTTTGACAATGGCCTTCCCCCGTGATTCCGCATTGACAATGGCCTTCCCCCGTGATTCCGCACCGACCCGCGCACCTTTTTCACCCTTGCCACCGTCGCGCCCACGCCCTCTCCCAAGCCCATTCTCTTTCCTCTCCTGTTCGCGTGCTCGCTTCGCTGCGTTGTACCTCTTGAGCGCATCGTCAGCCGCTTTTCCGAAACCCCACGCCTCCAGATCCTCTGTCGCGCGCTCGTCTGTTGAAAAGTGGAACACAAGGATCTCGGGATCCTTGGTCATTCTGTTCGTGAGTGCCTGCTCCCTTCTGACGAGCTGCCGTACCGTCTTCTAGTTTCTCACTCCTGCACCCACACACTTGTTGCAATCTCTCGCTTGAAACCTCGGATCACACTACGAAACTTTGGCTTCCGATATGCCAAGCGAGAGATGGACAGTACCGACCTTATTGTTGGACTTGCACCCCCTGCCGTCACCTCCTGCAGTCTGTCTCTGCTGAGTGGAGCGTTTGGTTCATTCGCCCGTCACAACGTAAAGTGCAAGATTGACGATCCCGTGACCAATGTGCTTTGCGCTCTCGTCTTCTGGAAAGTGCAACACATTAGCCACAGGATTCTTCTTGCGTCTGTTCATAATTGCTTGCAGCTCTCTCGCGAGCGTCCACTCTGTTTTTCTCACATCACGCTCCTTCATCCCAGTCGTTCACATCGTTGTCAATTTTGGTGAGCAACTCGCTGCTCGACTGACAATTCATTCTCCGAGTGTACGACCTTGGCGAGTCTCCTAGTTTTGGAGTTTAGGACCTTGTCATGATCGCGCACCGTACCAAGGTTGTACACTTTCAAAATAAATTGTGCATTGGTGTCGTCCAAGCCTACCAGAATGCAGAGATAGTGGACAGAAGCAACATATAGCTCCAACAAGACGTCGCGGTGACACGTTCCCACGGTGATTGTCATTGTTGAGCATGAAATCCCATCATCCTGTCCGAATCCTGCTGTTTCACCCCCACGCGCATGTGAAATTATTTTCTCTCTTAGTCCACCAACCTGTACACTACTGTCCCTCTCTTGTTACCGTATTCTTGCCCTCGACCACAAACCGACTTATCCAACCCTCGTCCACCACACCACATCCACACTTCAAATCTCTTCTACAGGCATACAGAGTCCCAAATACCGCATAACTTTCGCCCTCCTTTGCCGGACGGCCTGCACGCAAAAAATACGCATGTGAGGGATGATGGATGGGTGCGACATGGTCGCCAGAGGCAAAGACGTCGGAGTGGTGGAGAGAGGGTAAAGACGTGGGACACCCAAGTGGACGGGTGGTGGAGGTTGAACAACCGTGTACCATGCGTTGGTGGGAACGCGTGAACAAGAAAGGGGCACGTTACACCATGGCTCTCACACACTCGCAACAACATCGCAACCCCCCTGGACCCCCGCCCCCCCCAAACCCACCTGCTCTTTCTCATCCCCCTCATTTACATCCCTGTGTTCAAACACGCCCCTCTCTTTGATCACCACCCTCTTACTCCCCCTCCTCTTCCCCATCCCCAACCCCACCGCCTCCACCACAACCGGAACCATCCCCGCCCCTTCAACCTTGACCCCTTTGGGGAACCCTCGACCCCTCCCTTGCATACCGAGCCTGCTGCGCGCTCCGTCACCACCCACCAGCCCGCCACTCCCGCCACTCACACCGCCGCCTCGCTCACGCTCCATCTCCGCGACCCACGGCACGCAGCACACGCACGCGCATTTGGCGTGGTCGGGTTGCCACGGATCCTTGTCTGTCTCGGCGTCAGGGATCGGGGCGTCGGGGGGGAGAGAAAGCCGGGCTCGCAACGCAGCCTCGTGACGGGATTTTTCGACGGCGCTCAGGTAGAGCCACATGACGTGGATCGCGAATTCACCGGCGGAACGGAATCGACGACCAGAGGGGTGGCCTAGACAAGGAGTGGAATAGGTGGGACGCCGAGTCCCATGTTGGAAATACGCAGTGCAGTTCCGAGTTTTAAATGTGACGTTCGTTTCGTTGTAGTTGCGACGTTCAGTTTGTGGTGTTTGGTACGTTGCGTTACGTTGGAATTCGAAATAAAAGTCACATCAGCCCATGCAAATTCCACACGAACAAACCACCTCAAAACCGGCACCGCCTACCCGCCAGAACACCTTCCCCGTCCCCCCATCCCACTACCCACCGTACAAGAACACATCACTCCTAAACTGCTGACCCGGCTGATGAGGCACCGGCGGCGCCGCCGCACCGGCCCTCACCGGAACCGTCGGGCCTCCACTCGCACTCACAGCCGCAGCGCCCTCCACTCCCGCCACTCCCGCCACTCCCGCCTGCTCCCCATCCCCACTAACGCCCAAGCCACCAGGACCTGCCGCTACCCCAGCACCTACCCCGCTCCCCACCTGCGCCTGCGCTTGGCCATCCCCCCCCACCCCTGCAGCCCCTGCAACAACCGCTCCACCAGCGCCCCCCTTCTTCCCCTTCCCCTTCCCCTTCTTCCCCCTCCCCTCTTCCTCAGCCCCGCTTCCTCCCCTCCCCGCTCCACGCGGCCCCAAGGGCTTCTTCAACATCCACAAGCTGTACCCTTGCGGCAACCCGTCCAGGGCAGGCATCTCACTGGGTGCCCGCCGGCCCCCAGGGCCGCCGGCCTTGCCCGAGGAGGAACCGTACGAGAGGGACAGGGTTGTGGCAGAGGAGGAGGCGTGCGCGGTGGAGCGGGACGGGCGGGGGTTGAACGAGGGGACGGGCGGGGGGGGCGTGCCGGTGTCGAGTGTATAGGGGTCGAGGCGGGGTCGGTTGCGGCCGCCGACGCGGGGGCCGTCTGGAGAGGGGTTGGGGGGAGAAAGAGGGAATGTGCATGAGATGGTAGTGGGAGGGGTGTGGACGGTGACGGGGCAAAACTGTGGCACCAAAGCTGTGATGCACCACCGACACCTGGCGATCAAACTGCCTGCCTCGTCACTACACGGACACCGTGACCAAGTACGCATTCGTCTGTCTCGTATTCCGTGACAGCAGGAACGCGCGCTCCGCCCCACCCCCATCCCTCCCCAAACCCGCACCCCGACGACCCCCTACGACAGCCCACACCCATACTCACTCTCCACTCTCAACCTCCCCAACACTTCCTCCATCTCCCTGAAACTCTTTAGCCCCACAACCCCCTCCCCCTCCCCCGCTTCGGGCTCCCACCCACCCCCCTCGCCCCTCACCGCATCGGCCACCAACCCACACCACCTCCCATACGGGGAATTCCCCTCGTCAAGTTTCACGAACCACCTCGCCGCATCGTCGGGGGCCTTGGCCGGCCCGGGTGCGCGGGGGTTCATGGCGTCCAAGCCGTCGGAAAACACGGGACGGGGGATCGTGGGGTGGGACGAGGAGAGCAGCCGTCGGGCCGCGGTGGCGGCCGCGCGCCGGCGCGAACTGGACGGGCCGCCGCCGCCCGCCCCCCCACCTCCCCCACCCACGCCGCCGGGTCTCCGCCTCGCCGATCCGCCGCCCCCACCCCCGCCGTTCCGCCTCCGCCTCCGCCTCCCGTTCTCATCGTACCCTCCTTCCTCGTACACGTCCGAATCGTCCTCGGACGCCCCGCCCGCGTCTTGGAACTCGTCGGGGTCGTCGTCGTCGTCGTCAGAGGGGTCCGGGTCGAGTACGTCCAGGTCGGCCGGGTCGAAGGCGTCGGGGTCGGGGTCGGGGGCTGCAAGCGCGTGCGCCGTCACGGAGGGGCCGGGGGCGGGGGCGGGGGCAGGGGGGAGGGACCCGCTGTGGTCGTGGCCAGTGGCGCCGTGAAGCGCGGTCCCCGTCCCCGTCCCACCACCAACCCCGTCGCCCACCCGGGCCCTCTCCACGCCCACGCGGGCCCTGACCCTCCCCTGCCCCGCGCCGTGCTCTACACGTATTGTCTCAACCGCACCCGCACCGGCACCTGCACCTGCACCGGTACCAAAACCAGCGGCGGCACCGGCACCGGCCCCGTCGTCTCCCCTTGCCTTCTTGGCCGTCCCGCGTTTTGCCGACGAGGACGTGGAGGAGTTGGAGGTGGGGGCGGGGCGTTTTCTGGAGCGGGAAGTGGTGGGGGGTGCAGGTAAGGGGGCGGTCGCTGGTGGGAGTAGAAGGGGGGGGAGGGAAGGAGAACGAAAAGAGGATGTGTGGGTTGACGGCCGCTCACGTGCACTAGATTCGTATCCGACCCCTGAACACCACCCCGAACTGCCCCGTTCCCCTCCAACCCCCCCCAACCCATCCCCTGCCCCACTCACCGTGCTGCTCGATCCCATACTGCGCGTGCATCTGGTACTGGTGCTGGTGCTGGAGTTGGTGCTGGTACGGTATTTGGTGCGGGATCGAGTGCGGGTGTGGGTGGGCGTAGTGTGCTCCGTACGGTTGGCCCGGTGCGACGCCGCCGCCAGGACCGGTGTGAGCGGGTGCGCCTTGGGGTGAGGTCTGAGACTGAGGTTGGTGTTGCATGGGCACGGGGAGGGGCATGGGCACGGGGTGTTGC